GGGGCTTTCACATTGCTCATGTCATGGTGGATCGGCCTCTGGCGGCCAGCAAACCTGGCCTATTTGCAGAGGCACCTTATTCCAGCGCAGTCTATCTGCAAAAGCTAGGCAAGCTGCTAGCGCCTGGGGGAGGGCCGGGCTCCCCGCCTGATCCAACCCGGGCATTTCTCAGCTCCTTAATGGCACCATCTATAAATCGGCCGTCTGAGCCCCTTCGGCCCGACCTCCCCCCCGCCACGCCAGCCTTCCCCTTCTGCTCATTTGTTACAGCTTTTTGCTTCCTCTTGGAATTTGCTGGCCCCTCCAGTTCTTTCTTCTGGCTGCTCGGCCTGCACCGATGGGAGGATTTATGGGCAGCTTCAGGTGCGGCTGGCCAGCTGCCAGGGAGCTGTCTGCGCTTCTCTCCCGGCTCGCTTCTGCCCCTTTTTTCCTCCTTTTAACGAGAGCTCATAAGTCTGGGCTCTGACAAATGGGAACTGCCGTGGCAGAAGCCTTTGGGGTTATCACCTTGGCCTGCTGATGGATCTTTATCTCTCCCCCTCCCCCACCCGCTTCTTTCCCTCCCCCCCTCCCTCCCTCCCTTCCCCGCAGGCTGGGACCCTCCCCTTAAATTAAGACCCCTTGGCCCAACCCAGCAGGTGCCTTTTTAATGCCACTGAAGCCTCCGCCTCCCCCCTTCGCGAGTTCCCCTGCGGCAGGCAAGCTTCGCTTCGAGCAGAGAAAGGCCACGGCATTCGCATGGACTCGGTGGTCGAGGCGGCTGCGTGCCCTTGCTTGCTCCCACCCCCCAGTTGAGCGCTTTGGGGGCTTGAACCGCTGAAATGATTGCCTTTGGCCTACCAACCCCCTCCCCTCAAAGCTCTTCAGGCTGCGATCGTTTTTAACTTCACTGGTCGGCATCAATCGCTTCTGATCAACTGCGCATGACATGGCTGGGTTAAAAGAACTGTACTGGCTCCGGGTCATTTATTTATTATATTTATATCCCGTCTTTTCATCTCACCTGGTTTGCTGCTGCTGTTGACATTCAAAGCCCTAACAATTTGGGATGCAGATACCCAGTGCGCTGTGTTCCCCTATTTGCTCTTATCCCTGCTGTGCCTTAAGAACTTCTGCAAAAGTCTGCTCATGAGCAACAGAGTGTCATCTGGGACTTCTTGATGGTAGCACCCCAACTGCTGGAATGGCTTTCCCATGTGCGCTTTGTGTGGAGGAAACTGGCACACTCCAAACAAGCTCCTCTTGAAACGTATTTCTTCATGTGGGTTCGTCCTGCCGTGCACGGCCATCTGAACTTTTGATGACAGTGGTGTTATGCTTATGTTTTGTTTAATGTCATGCAATATGGCTGCCTTGACCCTCTGAACTTGGAGGGTTAAGAGCACCCGCTGGAAGGTGGCTAGGATGTGTCTAGCCCCATAAAATGCTTAGGGAGCCAGCTCTTCCCCTCTTTGAGAGGAAAACTGGCTGACAAACCCCCAAAATTTTATTTATTTATTTATTTATTAAAACATTTCTATGCCGCCCCTTGCCGGAGCCTCGGGGCGGCTTACAACGTCAAATAAAATACACAATAAATTAAAACCATAACAATTAAAATATATACAGTAGAATAAAATAAGCCGCCCTGGCCAAATAAAATTCAATAATATTAACATTTAAAATGCTGCTTAAATAAAAAGGTCTTCGCCTGGCGCCGAAAAACAAATAACTACGGCACCAGGCGGACCTCTCTGGGGAGCGCATTCCATAGATTGGGCGCCACTGCAGAGAAAGCCCTCCTCCGAGTACCCACCCTCCTAATTTCCTTCACTGAGGGCTCCTGGAGGAGGGCCTCTCCCGCTGATCTCAAGGGGTGGCTGGGCATATATGGATGTAAGCGCTCCTTCAGGTAACCAGGAACCAAAGGAACCAAAATTCCTTGGAAAGGCCCCTTGTTTTCCTTCCCTGTGGCCTTTGCCAGCACCAAAGAGATTTCTCAGCCTTCGTAACCAGTGAATGCAGGAAGCTGTAAGTTTGGACCAGGTGCTTCTAAGACCAGGACAGCACCTCCAACCTCAGAAAGCATTTCTGAGCTCAAAGCTGAAATCCCAGCCTCCTATTTCCCGCCCCCAACAATATTGGGGGACCCTAGGTGATGCCGTACTAATCTGCATTTTCCAAACATTGCTGTACTGCATTTTAACACAAACCATTTAGGGCTTTCAATGTATTAAGTGAAAGAAACACGTTCCCTGAATAATGGCAGCCCTGCAAGGTAGATCTCAGGATTAGCAGCGAGGTAAGTTAAAGCCTGAGAGGCCTGATGAATCTTCCACGTCTGTCCGCACACCTCCCTTCTCATTGGAGAAGCTGCTTTCAAATGTCTCGCAGGACAGAAGTAACAGCTGCCTGTAGAAATCAGGGATTTTGTTATAACTGTGACACTAGCTTGGGGGGGGGGATTTTCCCTTTGCATTTTCTCACAAATTGACCAAAATTAGCACTTGCCAAACTAACACTTGAACTGGAACACACGTTACCTTGTGAGTTTCCCTTGCTTAAGAGTTTTGCAATTCATGTATCAGATCAAAACTTTTGTGCATGAAAATAGTGTTTCGAAGTATACTCATTAGAGAAAATGCCTTGCTCAAACTGCATGCAAAAATGTGTGTTTTTGCACACAGGAAACCGGAGGAATAGCTTCCCTGACCCTCTTTAAAAATAAAACATTTTATAAGCTGATGCGGAAACAGGACAGAATGCATGTGTTACTGGAAGCAAGACTCTGGTAACCAAAACATTTTGTCTACTCGCCTTGTCGAGAGATGGCAGCAAAGTCAGAAGTTTGTGTTTTTTCAGTCTTGTGCCTTATTTTCATTTTTAATGGCTGTGTGTGCTGGGGATGATGTGAAGTGTTATCTAGTACATCTGTGGGAAACCAGGGTAAGGGCACTGAATGAAAGCGTTTTCCAAAATACCCTCTTCTAGCAGCTGTGCAAAAATGAAGTCAGTTGACTGCATACTGCAGGCCAAGAAGGGTGGGGGGCGGGTTCTTTGACAGGGGTCTTTAGGGTTGCAAAGCACCCCACTAAAGGCACCCCACCCTGCAAAGCACCCAGTGTTAATCCTGGCAAGGACTGGTTGCAGTTTTTGCTGTGCCGTGTATTCCCATCCTTTCCATTGCCGCTGAAAGTCCGGCAGAGGCTGGATTGGCTTCCTTGTCTCCCAATTTCCCTCTTTGGAAATGCCTCCCCACGTTCATTAAGTGGAGGGATTTCTGCCACATGTTTTAGGGGTGAAGGGGAATGTGGATGCTGAAATGCTAGTGAGAAGGGGAGGGAGAAGGAAGTGTGGTGCAGTGGTTAGGGTTTAGGGCTGGGACTCGGGAGATCTGGGTTCCTGTCTCCACTGAATGGACTCACTGGGTGGCTTTGGGCCAGTCCCAGATTCTCAGCCCAGCCTACCTCACAGGGTCATTGTGAGGATAAGGTTGGGAGGAGGAAATTATGTCACCTGTGCCGAGTAATGTGGATTAAAGGCTACCTCCCCCGAGTTGGGGTCTCCCAGTAGGTTTGGACTGATGGCCCATTTCCCCCAGGAAGCCAAGGCCAAGCAGACTGGGCTTGCTGGAGTATAACGGTGTGGTCAGAACCACGGACACTGCTATGCCCCGTGGCTTCCAAGCCAACAGATTCCTTATAGCAGAAACCTTTGTGAGCTCCAGGCCACGCCATCCTTTAAGCCCCCTGCCCCAAAACTCTTTTTTGTCTCTTCTCATGCTACCCAGGGCAGCGGCCCAGACTGAGCTAAGAAGGGCTGACCACTTAGCCAGAAATTCTCCAGACCCTGCTGCATTCAGAAAGGTTATCGAAAAGCACGTACTGGGGCTCACAAACTTCCCAAAGATGCACACTAAATTTGGGAAATGTTTCGGTGCAAGTGAGGAAGACAACGTTTTAAACACTCAGCTTAAATTGGGAAGATCCTCTCATTAAGTCTGCATTTTAAAAATCTCCTGCTTTAAATAAAAGATTAGAAAAGAAAAATGGCAGAAAGACTGTCAAGGCACTGCTAAGGGTTTCATGCAAACTCACACTGAACTACCATTTGGAAAACTGGATTGTGGCTGATCTTTGTCAGGTGTTTAGGGTTTTGGGTGGGGGGGCGGCGTGGAGGACAGCCACAACAAAGCCTCATGCCTGTGGAGGGCTTTTTATTATTTAAGAAGGTGTGGGAATAGGAGGAGGAGGCTGACGGGTGTTCACTCCTCTTTACAAGAGGAAAGAAGAAGATGGGAACAGGAGAAGGTGGTGGGGAAGGGAACGAGACGCCTTGGGAAGCAGCATGATCATTTTTCATACTGCGAGCGTTAAAGTGCCACTAAATTGAACATTAACGAGCACGAGTGAACTGAAGGTTGCTTTCCCCCCAGGACTGGCTGCCCATCAGTGCATTAGAAAGCAGAATCCATTACCGCAGGCCCCAGGAGAGAATTAAATCTTTCCCAGAAAGGGGCGACTGCCAACATCTCTCCTGCTTCCCTGTCTGGATCTCTCCCCCCACCCTCCTTTCTCTCCCCATTTATTTTTCGGGGAGGTCTGCATGTGCTTTCATGTCTCTGCTTTTTCATTTGTGTGTGTGTGTGTGTGTGTGTGTGAGAGAGAGAGAGAGAGAGAGAGAGAGAGAGAGAGAGAAGGGCGGGGGGACACACGCTCTCAAAATAAGATGCAAGCAGCTGAAATCGCAACAGGGACCCCATGCGTGGCCACACCTGCTCTTCTGTGTCGGGCACACTTGCTGTGCACATATGGGGGAAGAAAGCACCCCTTCTCCCAAGGGGGGGGGCTGTGCCTGCTTAGCGGGTGTTGAGCAGGTTTTGTAGTGGAGCGTGGCTGGGATGGAACGGGGTGCCCCCCTTTGCTTCCACAAGGGTGGAAGGAAAGAACCATCTGGACAGCTGTTTACATTAAGCTGAAAAGTATAAAAGCTGGAATTTGGGGTGCTGTGGGGCCTGAGCTTTATTTCTTCTAGGCCGGTACTTTGGGTCTGACTGGCAGTAGGTTTTAGGCAAGGGTTGTTCCTGGCCTTGTCGGAAGCAGCGCTCCGAGCCTGAACCAGGGGCCTTCTGTGAGGGATGCCAGCCTCGTGACCACAGCTGATTTCCTATAGTGTTGTTTTGTGTGTGCGTGTGCGCATGTGTTTTCTCTTTGCTCTCCACCCTTTCAGACAGAGATCGCCAAGCGACTCAACGTCATCTGTGCCCAGCTCATCCCATTCTTGTCTCAGGAGGTAAGTGTGTCCCATTTCGTAGTAGTATAGCTTATTGTGCCCCCTTCAATCTGCAGCTTGTCCTGGGAAATGGGGGAATCTAGAATCTTAGATGAGTCTCGCTACAAACTGGATGTCAGCATTCATATGAGTGGGCCCTGCAACACAATTGGTGCCAGCCAGCCAAGCCCTTTCCCATGTTACTCCATTCCATTCCCTTCCCCTCAAAAGATGCAGCGAGTGTCAAGGCACAGCCATGCTGAGCTATTTAGGGTTTTCCATTACCCATTAGGGTTTTTCTCTCCTTTTCTGGCACTTCTGCGAACTTTGAGGTTCTGCCAAGCCGGCTAATGCACATGATTGTGGTCACAGTGCCATAAAAATGGAACTGGAGTTAAGGACTGTCCAGATGGGGGCTGGAGGGTCCTTAGGGAGGGAGGTAGCAATATTTGGAGCTCTTGAACTTGGGAACGAGACTGGAGATAAGCAAGCATTTCGTTGGCAAATGATTTCTGTTTGCTATCTTGGATGCAAACAGGAGAGCAAGTTTGCAAATTCCTAAACATGTATTTGCCCTTGGAAAAGTCTGCATTTTGTGTCTTACTCTACAGAGAGAAAGTGTGTATTTTGGGTGTGTGTTTAAAATGTGCTTTTTTGAAATGGCTCCTTGTCCAGTTGGTGTGAAATGAAAATGTGTGGAAACACACACATGAAATGGGAGAGGCACAAGTTGGTTTGCTTCCCCATCCCTAAACAGCACATGAAGGTGTGTGGGATTACGGCACGGTATGGGGCAGACTGTTGCTGAGCAGTTTCCCCCCCTCTCTGGCCATATTATAACCCCTGAATCTGATTAGTGGAAGATTCTGGGGCTGACAAAGAGGACTTCACACAGTGCAAAGCTTAAACGGTGGAACTCCCTGCCACAAGAGTGATGGCATTAAAGGGGCAACTGGACCATCCATGGAGGAAAACGTGGCCACACGCCTGACGTGTGGGGGAGACAAGCAGGCGGTGCTAATGCACAAGTGTCTTGGTTGTGAGCGTGTTCATTTGGCCACTAGAACCGAGTGCGGGACCAGAATGGCTGTTACACTACTGTGATCGCACGGATCGTGGACAGTATGGCGGACATGAGAGGCGTGGAGGAAGGGCTTGGACCTTGTGATGGGCCACGGGGTCCGTTGATGGAGATGACACAGTGCCCCTTGTCCCTGTAGGAGCTGAGACGCATTTTGCCCCTGCCCCAGACTGCAGGATTCAACCTCACGTCTGACCGGTTAAAACACAAATCCTTTTTGACAAAGGGGACTGGACGTTACTTAAAACATCCCGTAGTCCCATAAAAAACCGGACTGCTGAAACGTGCATTCAAGCAGTCCCCCATTTTAAACCCCAAACTCCAAACAAGTTTGTCATATGGCACTTTCTGGCCTCAGTTGCTGCCCTGTAAAACCGGTGGACTGTGGTTTGAAACAAAAAAAGCACAGCGCAGGAGCAATTAAAACAGTAGGACAAAGCCAGGAATTTCATCAGTGGCTAATAGCTTTAATTGCTGGTAGCTCGGATAGATGATTCTGCCGGAGAAAGGCAAGAGGGGCCGTATATGTGGGTGAGAAGTCCACTTCTCAAGATGGAGCAAAAACGGGTGGGGGGTGGGTTATGGCTGGTAGCCAGGCCTCCCCAGTATGCTACCTTTACGTGCAATTTTGGACGATTTATTTATTTATTTTATTTATTAAAGCATTTATATGCCGCCCCATTTGCTGAAGCCTCGGGGCGGCTTACAACATAATAAAAATTACAATAGTCACAATATAAAATATAAGATAACAATATAAAATAAATAACAATATAAAAGATTCATCTCCCCGGTTCACGATTCATCTCCCCAGGATGGGGCATCTTCTTTCTGTGTCATCTCTTTCCCAAGAAACCCCTGGCAGGAAAGAAGCCACAGATTTCAGTAGCCAGTGGCTTGTAGTCCCCCAGGTTGCAAGGAATGTCTGAAAGCAGCTCCCCGTTTTTGTTCCAGTTTGAGGAAACCTTTCGCCATGTTTATCATGTGTGGGTATTGGGAGTATCTTTGGTTGATGATGCTGTTTGAAATAGAGCTTTCATATTCAGGGGCAGTGTACCTATCTTTCATTTCATGTCTACACTCCCTAGGAGTTTCATAGAGAACAGGATTCTGATGAGTCAGTCTCTCCTCTTCCTTCCTCTCTAAGCCTAATAGCCATCTTTTAGGTCCTCCAAGTCAAATTATATACCACTTGTGAATGTTCTACTTTGCATCTGGCTCTGAATTTCATTCCATTCTACTTTATGGTTCCTTCCCTTTTTAAGTGGTTAAGTAGCTCTCACAACACCATCTGTGCACCAGACAGAACTGTTAGCAGGTTGGGGGAAAGCACTGTGGTTTGCAGAAATGCAGAATAATTCTGGGGGAGGAAGCCTCTTAAGGGAGGGGAAACCGCCTTGAAACAACTCCTTGAGGACTAGTGCTGAAGCTGACCGATCTGACAGGTGGGGGTGAAGGGAAACTGGGATGGGCATGGAATGGAGTGTGGTGGAGGAGGGCCTGGCCGGCGGCTGGCTGGTGGGAGCAATGAGCTGGAGAAATAAAGGTTGCAGGCCATTTGCGTCTTTCCTAATGTGGGTTTAGACGCATCCAGAACAGCAGCAAATACTAACTTCATCTGTTTGGTGGGGGGGGTGTTGCTCTGTTCCTCCTTCCCAGCATCAGCAGCAGGTTGTCCAGGCGGTAGAACGTGCGAAGCAGGTGACTATGGCAGAACTGAACGTGGCAATTGGGGTATGTGGACCCTCCTGTACTCTTGGTGGAGTCCCAAATCTATCTACCTACCTACCTACCTACCTACCTATCTATCTTCAAGCCTTTTCCTACCTAGAGATGCAACCCTTCACCCCACCCCACCCTGTTCTGGTCTCCTGTGGAGAGGCTCCTCCTTGTGATCTTTTTGCCCCCCTTCCTACCTTGGATCCCCCCATAGATGTGGGATACTGTGGGCGTTACTCCTGTACAGGCCTAACAGGCCATGCAGTTCTGCTTTGAAATACCAGAGCCTGAAATGTGGCTGGATGGAAGGCGTAACGCATCAGACGTGAGCTTGGCACTCAGAGCTGAACCTGTTCTGCAGAGAAGACACTTGTGCGTGTGTGTGTGTGTGGGGGGGGGGGGGGGGCGAGAGTCCCTCATGTGAAATGTTTTGTCTATGGCTGCCACATCGGGTTGCTCATTAACCGTGTCCCAGCTAATGTGGACGTGGCATGACCCCCAGGAATTGCAGCTCGTGCCTGCCAGCTTTTGCAGTCGCCGTGCCCGGCAACCAATCTCGCCTGGCCGTCTCCCTCCGCCCCGTGCTGGCGTTCCGAGTGGTGCAGAAATCTGGCATTGCTCGTGTTTTCTCTGGCTGGAGGGGCTCCCGTGTTTGCTTCCTTGCCTCGCTTCCTTGAGATCTTAGCGCAAAAGCATGGAAACTCGGGAAGGAGGAGGACCAGGTGTATAGGACTTGGGGATCTGCTCCGTGCTGCCTTCAGCGCATTGTCCGGAGGCCCCTTAACCAGGGGGGATGGAGCCACGCGCTGTCTGGATTTGATCTGGCGGGCCTGGTGTTTTAAGCAATTTCTGGAAGGCTGGAAGGGACGTGGCTCCCGTGTGGTTTGTGTCCAGGGCCAGAACCGGGTGGACAGCTGAAATTTTGGCAACAGCGTGCCGTTAGCAGGGACCAAGCCCACCTGGGGTACCTTTCCCGTTGCACCCTTTCCGGTTTCCGTCCCTCCATCCCACGCCACGCACAACTGCTTCTCAGTCCTCTGTGGCCACGGCGCATGCTGATCCCTCACTGGTCTGTCTCTGCACGCACAGTTCCAAACCAGGCTTGCTCATGTGCAGTTCTCAAGTGTGGTTGTACTTGGCGCTTCCAGCTCTCAGATCCACGGATGGTGTTGGTTTCGTGGCAAAAACAGAGCTCCACGTGGGGCATAACTTGAACTCATATCCGCATGCTCGCATGTGCCTGCACGGAGCATCGGGACGGGCCCTTGTTAGGCGTTGCACTGCCCTGTGAGAAGTGGAAGACCAGGGGTGTGGGACCAGATCATTTTCTGGTTTTTGAATGTACTGGGGTTTTTGGCCTCTGCTTGGAGCATTTGTTTTTATTGGAAGCATGTTTGCAGAAATAAGGAGGATAGGGACCCTTCTGAATGCTTGCACCCTTACACAAGTGAGCTTTTATTGCCAAGCTTTGCCCTGAAGTATGCCTCCTCTGTCAACATCATGGGAAACGCTTTCCTTAAGGACTGGAAACTTGGCTGTGTCCATTTGTTTCCAAGTGGAAAAACTGAGGTGCTCTCTGTGCCGTTCCCAAGGCTTGCAGTGCAGTGACAGAATATGGAGATGCAGAGAGAAAACGTACAAAGTTCCTGCTGGGTTAGAAGCTTCTTAATCATAGTTCTGCTGGATGTAATTACTTCATGGAAAAGAGGATTCAAGAAGAGATGGAGTGGAGATGGTATTAAAGTGGTAGAAGGTTGCGGGTATGCGTGCCATAAAAGTGAGGGAAGGGAACAGTTGTGTAGGGAGAGCAAAGAGGATTGTGGCAGCATGAGTTAACTACCAAAGGAAATTCTGGGCTGTAGTTTTTAATTTTTTGCACGTCCTTCCTCCTCCTCCTCCTCCTCCTCTTCTTCCCCTTTTGGAGACCGAACAGTGATATTTAATTTAAAAGGCTGGGGAAAAGAGAAGCTGACCCATTTTCTTCGGCTCTGTCGAAACCGGTGTGCTTAAAAATAAAGGAAATTAAAATGAAGCGCAGAGAGCGGAAGAGAGAGACTTCCTTCCTACAAGAAGATTTTCCCCTCGATCAGCTTGCGCCCCACCTTTGTGCCACTCTCCACCCCCCCCAAGCAATTGTGCTGTCTGGCACCCCGAGAAAAGATGGGAGATGGGAAGGGGGGGTCCTCATTCAGCTACACACCTTAAGAGCCTTTTTGTGTTGTTTGACAAGCACACTACAGTCTGACACTGCTTTGCAATGAGAGGGGATGTATAGTAGGGAAATTTGCTCCCATGGGTGTTCTGGGCGGGGGAGAACTCAGTGGGCTTCCAGGACTCCGTGGACCCCCACACCCTTGCTCACAAGTACATGCCCTTGACCTGTTCAGAACCTGGGATGTAGAAATCCCAGGTGTGTTGCTCTTAGAATAGGTCAGGGAGGAAGACAGTGCCGGAGTGCTGAGTTTAAGCGTTTCCGTTCCCAGGGAACATTTGCACGATGCATTAGAAGCTTCCCACTCTCTTCAGAATCCTCATAGCAATCCAGTAAGGTAGACCAGGAGAAGGAGGATGGCAACCCTCCCGCAGTTTGGATCAAAGAGGAGACTGTGACTGAGAAAATACTGAGCTTGTGGCCTGAGCAGGATTGGGGCATTTTAGGGTGGGATGTGCAACCAGGCACCCTGGAGGGTTTCCCTACAGCTGGTTGAGGCTGGCCTGTAGGGGTTTTTTTAGGATTTCAGGCCAGAGTGCTTTCCAGCCCTACCTGCCAATGTGGGAGGTTGAGCTTGGAACTTCTTTAGCCCCCTCCCAAGTACTCCAAACCGGACACGCTCCAGACCAGCACCATTGGAACCTGGGTCTTTTGGGCCCCGGTGACCCGGGACTTTATTGCTGTGCTTTCCTGTGGTGTCTCTCTCCGTCTCCCTCTTTGTAATATTTTTCTCTCTCCTACTAGCATCAGCTCCAGGCTCAGCACCTCCCGCACCATGTGCCGCCGATCCCGCTGACCCCGCACCCGTCCGGCATGCAGTCGGCCAGCATGGCCACCCTTGGCGGGGCCTCGGGGCTGCTGGCGCTCTCCGGAGCACTGGGCAGCCAAACTCAGCTCATGGCGAAGGATGAGAGAGGGGTGCTCGACTCGGATCACAGAGGTAAGGGTGTGTGTGTGGATTTGGCCAGGCTGGAGCTGCTGGGTGTTCCCATGCTGAGATTTCCGCCTCGGTCAGGGCAGCCCAGAGGCCTCCAGGGAGCAGGGTGGAAGGGAACAGCCAAGCCCTGTTGCTTGTCCTCTGGATGGTACGCAAGGATAGACTGAGCCTGTACAAGGAGGCTCCTTTTAGCCATCATGACTAAACAGCCCCTGGGCACGAAACACATCTTCCAGTCCCGACTGACCTGTCTACTTCACACAGCCTTCCCAAAGCTAGTTTCCCTAGATGAGTTGGAATACAGCTCCCTTCACTGCCAGCAAGCAAGGGGTGTTGGAATGCAGCTCCCTTGGAGGGCCCCAGGCTCCGATGATTAAGGAAGATGGGATTAAATACCCAAAAGCACAGGGGGGATTCTGGATTGGCATGGTTCCACTCTTGGTTGCTTCTTAGTTAGTTGCCTGTGGTTTCTTGGTTAGTCGCTTAGAACTGCCGTTGCTCACCAGAGGTGACTACAGGCATAATCTTTGTGATGCAGTGAGCCTGAGAGCCAGAAACACCTTTCTGCCCGGCATTCAGTTTGCCATTTCAAATCCGTGTGTGTGCATTGCTTGGTGGGCGGAAGGGACGCCATGCCTCTGTTTTTAATACTAAAAAATCTCTCTCTCTCCTTCATCCTTGCCCTGTTGCTGGTCTGTGTTGCCATGGCGACCAGAGAGAGACCCGGGTCCTGTAAGTGTCCCCCCCCCCCACTGCTTTTTTCCTTTCCATTTCTTGCATTTCCTCCTCTGCTTTCCCCGCCTCCGTCACATTCCTTCCTCCTGCCTCCTCTCCCGAGGTCAGTTGGCTGGGTGCTCATCTTAGCTCCATATTTTTTAAAAAGCTGCTTTTTATGGGTTTTTCAGGGGAGCCACCTGGGAAGAGAAGCCTGTACCAGATCGTTGCTGCAGTCTCAGTGTGGAGTCCTGTCCCCCTTTCCCCCAGGGGGCTTGTTTATTTTTGGCTGGGGAGGGGGCGGGAACCCCACTGAGCTGGAAGCTGTCGCAGGGACACCTGGGGTGTGTCTTGGACCTACCCCGCCAGGCTGTTAAGAGGAAGAGTCCAGAGTGGTATGGCAGAAAAAGCTGCAGATGTTTCACCTGGAAAAGAGATGCAAACCTTATGGCAGACTGAGAAGAATCCTGATTTAGCATCCCACCCAAAACAGATGGCAGCTTAAGACCTGGGTGGAAGTCAGTTGTTAATTCTTTGCTCCAATGCTGGGGCATTTGAGCCCTGGAGTACTTCCCCCGTGCCCACCCTGTAGCAAGAGCATTTTGGAGTCTAAGCAGAGAACCTTCCCTGCCCCCACTCTGTTCCTCGCCAAACCCCTTACATTTAGCAGTTATTTCTGGCTTTTGTGCAGATGTTTTCCTCACCCAAGAAGGTTTACAATGCCCCATTTAAAGCTTGACTCCTCTTGAGAAGAGTTCCAAAGCAGAATCCTTGCCTGCTGGGTTTGTTGTTATTTGAGCAGGCCCCTCTTTGTCTTTGGACTGACCTGCCACTAGAAAATGGCCCCCAAAATATCAAACACGGCCCTCGGGATGGGAACAGTTCAGCACCCAGTGAATCAGTTTTGTGGCCGACTTGCTCTTTCATCAGCTAGTTTCTTCTAACATTCAGTGAACATCTGTCCACCCGTGGCGGAAGTGCTCGCCCGTTCCCCTTGTAGGGAGAGGGGAACACAGAAAGGGGTCCTTTGTCTTCTCCTGCATGACCACCCCATCTCAGCCTCCTTTTCCACAAGCTAAGCACCGCCTGTTCCTTCCACGTGGCCCCCAGGAGCTGTTTCCCTCTGAGCTCTGTCTGCATGTGATTTAACGTTTTCCCCTCACAACTGGGCACAGAACTCCAAGATGAACTCTGGTTAGCCTGAAACACAGCAGAGTGGTAATTTTTCATGGTTCCATTAATGCTGCCCACAATTGTATTGGCCCTTTTTGCAGCTGCCTTGCATTGCTGGCTCAGTTTTTGAGCTACCATTTCTCTCTCTCCCTGTCCCAGAGTTCCTTAGCGCTATCGAATGGAGAAAGGATGCGGGCCATTTCGGAGTACCTGAATAGCAGCAAAAAGAGGAAATCCGAAGACAAAGAATACGCCACAGACTATGTATGTTTTTCTGTCCCACATTGGGAATGAGAGCCGAGCCCTGGGATCTTAGGAATGGGGAGTAGGAGTTGTGTGAGGCTCAGCACCACCGGGGTACCTGTCCAGGTGTGGGAATAGTCATACCTGGAATGCTTTTATTTTACCAATGTGGGTTTTAGGCCACCTTTCAAGGCAGTGTCCATGATAAGAATAGATAATGCAGATGAGAAATATACATGCATTTGGCAAAAGGACTGTTAAAAGTAGATGATACCAATTAAACATTTAGTCTGCTGACTTAAGTTTTGCAGAGAAGGAGCCTGAGGTGTTTCCATTTGGAAGGGACTCGCTCCTATCTTCTTTTCACAAGCTGCCCTCTTAAACTGTGTTGCAGTTTGATCTGGTCAGAGAGAGAGAAAGGCACAGAACCCTGTGGTTTGAGCATGCTGGAAGATGTGGGCTTTTTCGTTTTGTCTGAACTTGCCTAGATTGCGCACAAATATTTCTATAAATCTCTTTTCTGGTATTTCTTCAGGGGAGCGACGGCGACAAAAGTGAGGACAACTTGGTGGTTGATGAGGTCTGTATTTAGTGGCTGGCTACTTGTGAGCAAGCATGGTGGATTGTGTGTGTTGTGCGAAGGCTTAAGCGGTGTTGACTGGGCCAATGTAGGCCACCTCTGCCCTGGTTCTGGACAGAGGCGACGTTTGCAGATTATGAGTGGCGGGTGCCAGGCTGAGCCCTCATGCAATATTTTATTGGGATGTGAAACCCAGCTTGGTTTTCGTGCATCGAAGAGTGTTGCATGTTAAGCGATACAAAACCCCTGCTCCAAACCTGTGTTTAACCATCTCTCAGTCCAGATGTTATTGAGTTGTGTCAGACCTGGCGGCTTCTTAAGGAGTTGTGTGGTACACTCTTGTGAACTCTTTTGACTGTTTTGGGAACACCACTGAACACTTTCCTCATGAGGTCTAGAAACTTGTTTTAAAAGGCACAATGAAAGCGGCACTTTTTAGGTATCTGAACTCTGTGCTTTTGGGTTCGAAAGGATTGCAATGTTCTCCGTCATATTCGCACACGTGTATGGACTGTGTACAGATAACAAACAGAGAGGCAATCCAGGAAGCAAAAAGAGTTATCTGTCTTCTCTGTGCACTTAGACTGTTAGTTGCCAAGTTGCGATGGGAGGCAGTCAGTGGGCGCTCTGCTGCTTATAGGAAATGGTCATCCCATTTAATAAGAAGCAGCTGTCTTTATATCAGATCAGGCAATTAGTCTTTCTGGATCAAGAGAGCTTCACCAGCTAGTTCCCAGGGCCATAAGCATGGTTTTATTTTCTCTCAACTGTGCTTCCTTCCCTCTTCAAAAAAATCACACCCTGGGATGTCATTCAGGTTCCTGACTCCTGGCAAAACAGAGCAGAGCAGGGCAAGCAGCCCCAGCTGGTCAAGGGCCTTCTGGGATGCACGCAGCCGTGATCCCAGAGAGCAAACAGGACTTTGGCAGAAGAGTTCGGTGTGGGAAGTCCAGAACATGTCCCCCCTTCTTTTCTCTTTTCTTTCCCCTTAGCCCCACTCCCCACGCACACGCACAATTGTCTTCCTCCTTGTGACACACACGTACTAGTAGGGTTGTGATGCTCACCTTTAGTGAAGATGGGAGAAACAGCCACACGCACACACAACAGTCCCCCAAGCTGGCATTACTAAAGTTGCACAACTAAGGAGACTTCCCAGTGGTGGTGATCCGCAACGACTGTGCAATGTTTGCTTTCTTACGTGAGGGCGATGTGTCCTACACGTGGAAGCCATCGCACGCAAGTGGCCCTGTTACAGGACATGGTGAGAGCGCTGGAGCAGCGATAAAAGAAAACGAGGAGTTTCTAGGCAGAGCGGAGGAGCTGCAACAGCTAAGTTAACCCGAAAGCAAGCTGAGGCAGCAGCAGAGAACCCCAAGGGAAGGGAAAACAGGGAAACTCTGGCAGAGGGTGACAGATAGACCTGGAAGACACTCTGCTCCAGTGGAAGCAGTGGGACTCTCAAACTGCCTTCAGTGACTTGAGGAAGGGACGTGTGAGAATCCCACTGTGAAGGAAGTGCACAGCACCCTGGGTAACTCCGAAAAAGAGACCAAAGGCCAATCAAGCAAGGAAACAGATACTCATGTTTGCAACACCGAAAAGGGAAGAGCCAAGAGTTGTGGGAGATTCCCTGTTGCGGAGGATGGAAAAATATGTGTGTTGTGACAACCTGGAGGATCGCCCAATATGCTGTTTTCCTGGTGCTGAGATTAAAGATGCAACCAGTAAGTTGACGCATCTCCTACCATCCACTGCAAAATACCTCTTGCTTCTAGTGACAGTGCCAGGAGATACTTTGACATCAGACTTCAAAGCTGTAGGGAGGGAAATGAAAAACACTGGAGCCCAGAGAGTCTTCTCCACATTCTTACCAGTAGGTGGAAGAACGTTTAGGAAGAGAAAAGTCCTTTGAGCGATTTGACTACAATAGCGGTGATATAAAGAGAGTTTTGGATTCACAGGTACAGGTGTAGGACATGGAATAGCCAATTCAACTTACAACAACCCAGATTCAGGCTGGATGTCAGGAAAAGCTTCCTTCCTGTCAGAGCAATAGGGCAGTGGAACCAGCTGCCCAGAGAGGTGGTGGGCTCTCCCACACTAGAGACATTCACAAGAACCTGGGCAGCCATCTGATGTAACGTGGTGTCCTGCAACAGCAGGGGGTTGGACCAGATGGCCTTCCTGGCCCCTTCCAACTCCACTATTCTGTGATTCTATGTATGCTAAGTAGGTGCTGTGCCATGCATCTGTGGACTTCCACTAAAAATGGAGATGAAGTTTCTAGTCCTCATGGTTTTGCACAAAGGCTTGAATTAAATAAGGGCTGAAGGAGACATATACCATGGGTTCATTGGCTACAAACCAACTGGCATGCATGCTTCTTTGGGAATAAGCAGCCCCTCGGATAGTAATCTCTTTCTGCTTCCATTTCCTTCCCCCAGGACCCCTCTTCTCCTCACAGCGTTCATTCCTACTCGTCTCGGGAGAACGGGGTTGAGAAACTCCCCCTGCAGAGGAAAGAGGTGGTGCAGCTTAGCCCCACGTCCATGGCTTCCTCCAGCAGTGTCTCCCCCACCCAGACCACCAAGGATGTGGCCACAGTAGGTAACAGCGTCGGGGGGACATTGTGGGGGTCCCAGGCAGCTTTTTTAGGGGTTCTGATTACCGTTCCAGTTACTTTTTGCAAAAGGGGCTGTTCTTGCTTTGCTTCCCCCAAAGTTTGAAACTCGGGGTTTAATTATTCCCGCAAAAGCCGGGACGATGCTAGTCAAGGGATTTTCTGTTTTGGAGTCCTTTCGGTGCTGTAGCAAGAATGTTGGACTGGGGCCAGGGAGGCTGAATGTGCCTAGTGGGTGGGCTGGGAAGAATCAGTTCAAGGACAGCCAGCTATGCAGGTGGCTGAGAAGATAACTCAGGATGTGGAGGAATCCACACAGGCTGGGAACCTGGCAGCTTCCAGAGCTCGGCATCCTGGCAACACGTTGCTTTCTCACATCCTTGAGCCTGCTTTCTCGCCAAGTGCACCCAGGCTTCATGGACCCCACGCCAGGAATCGAGGCCCAGATGGCGTCCTGCTTCTGTCCCAGATGTAGCGGCCCTTGTTTGCGCAAAGGTGGCGGCTCATTCCCAGCCCCCGCCAGAGATGGAGCGAGCCTGCTCCTTCTCTGGGTCATTTCTGCCGTTGTGCCCGATGCAGAGAAGCTTGCTGGTCACACAGCTCTCATTCCACACATGCTCATGGACTCCCGCGTGGCTTGGCTCACTTTCCAAGACTGTGCCAAGCATGGGAATGTTACAGGGATGGCCCATGAGTTTGTTCCTGACCATAGGGTGGGGGACCCTGGCTGCTTGGAAGAAAGGCAGGGAATGAAACATAGAGATTGAGGCAGAAGGGGTCTCCTGGGCCATCTAGTCTGACCCCCAGCTCCGCTCACAACATGCCCACCATGTGCATGTCCAGTCTATCCTTGAACACCTGCACCGATGGGGCCTCAACGATCTCTTGTGGAAGCCCATTCCACACCCTCGGGGTCCCAACTGTCAGGAAGTGCATCCTGGCATCCAAATGGAACCTGTTTCCCTGAGCTTGGCTCCGTTGGAGCACATCCTGCCCTCCTCTGCAGGGGAGAACAGGTCTCTGCCCACCTCCGTGTGACACCCCCTCACACACCTGTATGTCGCCAACAGATCCCCTCTGAGCCTCCTCTTCCGCAGGCTGAAGAGACCCAGTTCCTTCTGTCTCTCCTCATACGGCTTCCCCTGCAAACCGGTCACCATCCTTGTGGCCCCTTGGCTTGAGGATTGGCACCAAAGGGACACAGATGCTTTGGCTGCTGGAAAGCTGCTTCTCGGGTGAAAAACAGATGAGGTAGCCAGCAATGGAGAGCAGCCCCCAGTCTCCGCACCCTCCTGCCCCATGACCCTGCTTATGGGAATTGTAGTCCAACCCTCCCAGAGAGGATGCTCGGATGACTGCTGAACTGTTTCTGCGTCATATGTGCCAACCTGCTTGGCACTGTGGTGCCGGTGAGCTTGGGATCGGGATCCCCTTTTCTCAGAGGCTGAGCCAGGGATCACGGAAGCCACAACTTCCTGCTGTTCACGGAGCTGATTGATCGTTCAAAGAGCCTGTGACGTGCAGGCTGTTCTGTGCCCTGCAGCGGAGGGGAAGGGCAGTGCCTCGTGGCAGGGCTGGGGGAGAGGGACACTCCAAATTGCCCTCCTGGGGAAGTGAGGAGTTTCCGTTTTTCTTCCCTTGTCCTTCCCTTTTATCCCGCTGAGACCAGTTGTGGGAGCCGTGGGCTGGAAAGACAGCAAGCGGTTTGCAACGAGGGCAGCTTCAAATTTTCCGGAATGTTTACGCTTGGGAGCTTGCACGGAAGGACTGGTGGGGAAGGAGGTGCCTTGAGGTCTGTTGGGATTTCTGGATAAAGCTTTCCTGATCTTGTCTTGTTCTGCAGTTCATGCACTCCTTCCCCATACATTATCATAAGCCATGCTGGATCAGAATAGAAGGTTATGCTTTCCCACAGCAGCCACACCAGGGCAAGACGGGAGTAGCCATCTTGCACTCTTTGTCCCCATCCCCCAGCAGCCGGTATTTGCAGCTATACTGCAACTAGACATGGAGGTTCTGCTCCATCTTGCCATGAAGGCAAATACATGCTATGAATTGGTCTGTTCTTCTCTTTTAAGCCGTTGATGTCAGCATTGTGGAATCAGTGTGGTGTTATGAAGCTCAGTTGTGTGATTTTGAGCAAATCAGACAGTTTTAACTTGACCTGCCTCAAAGGGTTGTTGTGAAAATAAATGGAAGCGAGGAGAATCTTCTAAGTTGCCTTGGGTTGTCTGTGAGGGGTTAATTTATGAGAAGCCCCGTTTTCCCTTCCCTTCCTGGGAGCTGCTCGAACTCAGCTCACATTCTGCAACTTTTCTGGACCAAAATTAGCTTGGGTCATGCTGGAATAGGAATAAACCTGCCTTGTGCTTCCAGAACTGGTGCACAACCCAATAGCCACTGGGTATTGAACAGGATAAAAATACCCAAACAGACAGACAGACAGACAAACAAATACGCAGTTTTGCTTTGCCATTCCAAATGTTCTGATGTAGTTTTCTGATCAAAAAGTGCATCTTTTTTTTTGGGGGGGGGGAGTACACACAAAGGTGGGTATATTGGTTAAAGTAACAACTTTCATTAAACAGCACGGCTAGTGCAGAACCTGCTTATTAAGAAGAGTTCGTTCCCAAGTGTCTAGCAGAAGATGTGTACAAAAAAGGTGGGCTTTTAAAAATATCACAGAAAAGGGGGCAAACCTCACCCCCCTTTACTCACACACAAAGGATGGAAAAACAGGAATCTGCTTAACAATAGGTGACATTCCACACAATTCCATTTTCCCTCCTTGGGTTGGAGGAACCTGTGGTCCAGCAAGTATTTGTGAGACTTCTATTCTCATTGGCTTGGGGTAGCAGAATTGGATGATGGGAGATGTAGTGCAGTACTTTCTGGAAATCAGCAGCTTGCTTGTCACTGCTCTCATTTGTTCTCATTGAAATTTTATCATTTGTTTATTTTAGTTTATTTTTTGATTTATAGCCTGCCTTTTTCCTACAAAGGGCTCAAGGCAGCTTACATCATTCTCCTCCTCCATCTTCTCCCCACAACAACAACCCTGTGAGGTAGGTTGGGCTGAGAGTCTGTGACTGGCCCAAAGTCACCCAGTTGGCTCCATGGCTGAGCGGGGACTCGAACCCAGGTCGCCTGAGGCCCAGTCCCAGCTCTTCACCACTGTACCACACAAGCTTTGCATAATACTTAATCTACAAGAATCTCTTTGCTGGGAAACTTGGCAATTAGTATTCTCTTTTCTGATAGCGTCTCGCAAGAGGTGCGGAAGCTGGAGCTGTGGATCATTGTGTCTATTTATCATGTGTTCTGCGTTCCAAAAACTGCTGCTTTTCTCTGTGGCTCTGGAAATAGCCTATTTCTGTTGTTCTTACTTTATCGTTGTCTAGATGGTTTGCATTTGTTCTCTCTCTCTCTCTCTCTCTCTCTCTCTCTCTCTCTCTCTCTCTGTGTGTGTGTGTGTGTGTGTGTGTGAGAGAGAGAGAGAGAGAGAGAGAGAGAGAGAGAGAGAGAGAGAGAGAGAGAGAGGTCTGTGTATTTTGCAAAGTTTTTGCTTGTTTCCAGAAGGGAGATCATCGTAGTCCCTGTGAGCTGCCCAGACACCCTCATTCATAAACAAACAAACAAACAAATAAATAACGATCATTGCTATTATCGTATCATTATTAAGAGGTTCTTCTCCTTCTGCTGTACGTCTTTTTGTACTTCTTACAAAATAGGAATAATCTGGAATGTAACAGTGTGCTGTTCCCGAGTCAGCCTGCTCTGCTGGATTGGTGATGGATATAGCCATGTATTTTTGGATGCATTCAAACTGTGATCCTTTGTTCCAAAGGCTGCTTTCCTGTGTGGCTCTGAAAATATCTCATTTATCGTCGTCGTCGTCGTCGTTGTTGTTTTTCTGGCTGTGTGGATTCTCCCCTCCCACTAAGCCACTTGCTTCTCTGAGGACCGGGAATTGTTCTTGCAAGAGGAGAATGAGGGTCCAAAGGAGTATTTCTGGGCGGCTGGGATCCTTCCACCCCTTTGCCTGTGTGGTGCTTCCGTTTTCCCTTTCTGTGGTGCGGGATGCTCGCTGTTGGGGTTTCAAGCATTGTTCCATGTTTGCTGACCCCACCCCACCCCCCCTTGGTGGATGCTCTCACCAGATCAAACCATTGTGCGTCAGGCTCAAAAAAGCCTCCCCCGTCTTCCTGAAATGGTCCCCCCGAGTGGCTTAGACGATGGCTGCGGACAGCAAGGCATGGCTGCCCCATGGACTCTCTGTGGAATAAGCAAATTGGCCATCCCTTGCAGGTCGAGAAAGCGGCCACCCCTGGCTTGAAGTCCAGCACCCCAACGTCGCAAGGCGAAGGGACGGCGCTGGGATCCTCCAGCAGCAGCAGCAGCTCAGCCCAATTCCGTCCGAGCATCGCGAAGCAGACGGTGGAATCTCTGGGTAATGGGGGGTACGGGGGGTGGGATTTGGGGCTCAGATTTTTTGCAGGTGCAGCTTGGCAAAAAAGGTGCCTTGGTCGATTCTGCCTGTGGTGTTCTAGAGTTGCCAGCATAAAAGCGCTTCTCTGGACAGAGACTCTCTGGCCTTTCCATTGAACAATAATAAGACCAAGCAAGCAATGAATGATTGGAAGACCAAGGGAAAAACATACATAAAGGAATCACACAGTCTAATACTTTTAAGAGTAAAATTTTAAAAAATGCTACAATACCATTCAGGCATTTACCAGCAAATGCAACAGAAAATTGCAATTAGGTAAAATGAGGAAAATTACAATTGGATAAAATAAAAAGGGAAATATGGCGATTCTAAGATTGCAGTTACTTAAGATAGGGGAAAATACATTCTGCTAAAAGCCTAAGAATGCTTAGAGTTGACTGTACAGACTACAGAATGGTACTTGGCTGTAGTCAAAGAGATAAAATCAAATGATCAGCTATAAAAGCATAAGATAAAAAGGATCAGAATGACCAGGGTATTTAGAAAAGAGTGGGAATAGGAGACAAACACCTGCATAGAGAAGGCAATAAAAAAAATATGTTCCAGCAATTCAATTATTTCTCCCACACATGGGTATGGTCTTGCATGTTAATAATAGAACATAAGCAGAGCTGGAGAAAAAAAACATTTCAGCTGCTGACTGGCTTATGGGCTACAGGTTATTCGAAAAGATGCTTGCCTGTTGGTAGAAGGCCTGTTGGTAGCAGCCTTTCCCAGCAGGAGTTCCGGAGCCTGGGAGCAACCGTGAAAAAGACCCCGTTCTGAGTGATACTGCAGGAGTCAGAAGCAGAGTCTGCTTGGGGAAAATCCTGGACTTGGGGGGAGAAAGATATACCTACTTTTCCTTGCTCTTGAAATGAGTCAGCCTATTTGTGGGCAGAGAAATTTGGGGAGGCAACCTCACCAATTCTCTGTGGGGGGAAGAGAAATTCTGGCAGGTCAGCCTCTCTGTGGGCGCTACAATTTCTTGCTTTCCCTGCAAGTTTTTGCAGTTTTTGTTACTGTTTTGCTACTGCAAAAGGCAACGTTGTCATGTTGGCAAATTTTGTGATATCCCAAATTTAACATTCCAGGGCATGGGGGGTGTGGGGGGGGCAACACAGCCAGCACAAAAAGAAGGTGAAAATTTTGAGCAAAATGCGAAGTGGCCTTTTATTCGTGGGTGCACAAGAAAAAAACCTCAGGACTTTTCGGAGAAAAATGTCTCCTGACAAATTTTGGCTAGCTGACATAGAACCTTCCTCAGGGATCTCCAAAGATTAAATTTCGGAAGGGCGCCTGTGACAGGGCAGAGACTTTTTTTTGCCTCTGGGTAAGAGATGGAGCAAATGCTGTACAAGAATCCGGCCTCCGGTTCCCAGAAAGGTTTCTTCTCCCATGAACGCGGCTTCTGTTTCTCTGCCTCATTTCCACGGTGTTTTATAATCCGCTGTGCATTTCTTTGGTGGTGGTTTTGGCCATATCTAATGACTGTGGTGGCGCAGTGGTTTAAACCGCAGTGCTGCTGGGCTGGTTGATCGAAAGGTCACCGGTTCGAATCTGCACAACGGGGCGAGTTCCCGTTGCTCCGCCCCAGCTCCTGCCCACCTTGCAGTTCAAAAGCATGCATATGCAGGTAGATAAAAAGGTGCCACTTCGGTGGGCAGGTAACAGCGTTCCGTGCACCTCGGTGTTCAGTCATGTGGCCACATGACCACGGAGACTGTCTGCGGACAAACGCTGGCTCCCTTGGCCCGGAAACGGAGATGAGCACTGCCCTCTAGAGTCAGGCATGGCTGGACTTACCGTCAAGGGGAAGCCTTTACCTTTAATGACCGTGGAGAAGCTTTTCTTGCTTTTGCCTAGTTGGACTGCTGTCTCCCTGGCTGTCTGCACTTCCAGTGTGAATAATGAGCACAGGGAGAATTGGACACCAGGGAAACCGCAGGCTGCCAGAATACTGTTTATACCAGGAAGGAGATGGGAAAAATGTGCACATACTTTGGCTGCCCCATAAGAAAGGTGAGCACAAGAATGCCAGACATGGGCATTTTTCTAACACACTTTTTCTTGGTTGAATCCCTTTTGGAACAGCAATTTCTTTCCTATCAGATAAGTTTGTGCAAAGTTTATTTGGGCATAGCACTGCTTTCTCTGTGCCAGGAGTTTGGGCTAAGTGACTTTAGATATCAAGAGATAAATGTTGCAGTAAAGTTTCACATGTTTTTTCTCCATAACCATAAGGACTAGAAGCTTAAAAATAAGAAATGAATGTTGCCTAGAGAACGCTCAGAAGCCAGTTTAGGTCTGGAGCAGATTGTGTGCCTCTTCCTCCTCTCTGCTGACGTAGCAGTTTTCTGTTTAGCTCCATGCCTCTCCCATGCCAGGTGGAGTGGGAGACTTATGCAAAATGGATGCAAAGAGAATTTTTCTTCTCTCCACATAGAATCTAGACTAACTTGGTGTAGAATATTGATTGCATATTTTTAAAGAAACCAGAGCTTGGACCAGTACAGAGCCTTGCTCACAACCCGCTGTGCCAGTGACAGGGACTAGAAACTTATAATGGCTCTGGACAAACAGCTTTGTTAATGTGGTGGGTGTTGAACAGGAAACTTAGAGAAAGAGATTGGTAATTGTTGTACAATAGTCAAAACAGAAATAGTTGTGAAAGAGTATGGGCAATAAACATTTGGACAAGGAGTGAAAGGCGAGGCTTTATTTAAACATGAGCTGGGGGCAGTGGTGAGAAGGCGGGCTCTTCTGTCTCCTAGTGGCAGCAAACTTTCTCATCCTCTGCTTCAACTTCAGCCCTGAGCTTGCGCAACCCGCTCACCGTCCAGAGCTCCTACCAGGCCGCCTTCAACATGGCCCACGCGTCTGTCAATGGCGACATGGCAGGTGCTGGGGCCTATGCTGGGCTGCACCTTGTGACCCCACAGCTCAATGGAGCCGCTGTCGTCGGAGCAGCCGGATACGGCCGTTCCCCTCTGGTGAGTGCCCTGTGGGTGGCTTCCGGAAGATGGGGAGGGGGAGGCGCTTGGGGGTGGGGGTGGGGAACCTGTTGGCCTCCCTGGGGGCGGCGTGGTCCCCTTTGCAGCAGCCCGTGCCTGCGCTCTGAGCCCGTAAGCCCAGCGTTTGCAGAGTGCTTGCCCGGAATCGAGCCCCATCCGCGGCACAGGCGGCGCCCCTCTCCCAGGCCATTTTGGTGATGGCAGCACCACTGATTTTCTGAATGGGATGACAGGCTGCAAGTCAAAATGCTGCATTCCAGCACTCCCTCTCGTGCCTAACGGCTCGACAGAGGTGTGGGCACGCGAGAGAGGGCCAGAAGCTCACCGTGAGAGGCAGGCGTTGGAGCAGGGGGATTTATACATGGTGCCCAGGGCCCAAACGGCCCCCCTGCAACCTGACTCCGAGGCTTCCTCGCAAGCAGCCTCCCCGCATCCTGGCTCTGAGTTGTTGGAGCAGGGTGCGGCTTCCCTTCCTCTAGACTCCGAGGTGTTTGAACAAGTTGCCCCTGCCGCCTCCTGACTCTGAAGCTGCTGGGCAGAGTCCTGGAGAACAGGAAGACTTAACGGAATTTAGGGAAGGCCCAGCTCCGGAGGAGATTGCGGCGGTTAGACCAATTGAGACGGCAAGAGATGTGAGAGGAGATTGAAATCCACGTGACCTTCCCTATAGGGTTCAGAGAGGAGGGGGCAACTGAGCCGCAAGGAGTTCCTCGCCAGAGCTTATCTGTTGCATGGTAAATCTTGTAGCAAATAGCCGGCTGCTGTGTGAGCTCATTGGAGACGTGAGTTTCGGCCTCAAGACACTGCCTGAATTTGCTCTCAAAAGAGAACAGATCTGCATCTTGGCTTTCAGTCCCTCTGCTTTATGCTTCCACTCCTGGGCATGGGGCTTTGCTTGGCTTTGGCTTTGCTTTGCTTTCCACCCTGTGCTTTCTGGGAAATGGACACATTGTTTTAAGATACAAACCCAAAGAGGATTGATATGTCTTACCAGCTTCTTTTACTGGGATAACTATAGAGCCCCTTTAGCTTCTCTCACTCTCTGGACTTCTTATTGGTGGCAGTTGGGAAATTTCATTTGTCCCAACTATTTCACTGAAGGACGGGTGTGAGTTTGTGGGAACATGCTGGGGAAATGTTTTAAATAAAAATAGCTTGTCTATTATCTGTAGTTTTAATTATTGCATTACTGTATTATTATATTATTTAGTCATTGTAAGCCGTCCTGAGCTGTTATCGGAAAGGACAGGATAAAATGTTTTGGATGAATGAATGAGGGTTTTGTGACTGTTCCTGTCGCATCCATTACACGTAAAAATACCTTTAATGGCGCCTTGTTTGCTAAAAAGCCACCGAGATCATGCGGGGCAATTTTAAGACCGTGCGTGCGTGCGAACTGACGCTCTTCCTCTTTGGCCAGGTCGCCTACGATCCTCATTCGCACCTGCGGGTCCCCGGACTGTCCACCGGGATGCAGACGGGTGTCCCTTCAGCCAAACCGTGAGTGCTGGGAGAGGAGACGGGGGGAGCGGTCCCCTTGTAGGGGTGTCCTCTCTTGGCAAGGCCTCTCAAGCAGACGGGGTGGGAGGGCAACCTTGTTTGAGCTGAATTTCCAAAGCCCTCTTTCTGCTTGTATCATTCCTGTGAAGTTGGTTAGGTAAAAAGCAGCAGGGACTGATTGTTTAACCCCATGGACATAGAATTAAAATAAAATAATATTTTAAAATAATTAAAAATAAGGAGAGCCAATGTGGTGCAGTGGTTAAGAGCATGAGACTGGGACTTGGACGATCCGGGTTCGAGTCCCCGCTCAGCCATGGAGCCAACTGGGTGACTTTGGGCCAGTCACAGACTCTCAGCACAGCCTACCTCACAGGGTTGTTGTTGTGGGGATAAGATGGAGGGGGAGAATGATGTAAGCTGCCTTGCGCCCTTTGTAGGAAAAAGGCAGGATATAAATTGAAAAATAAAATACATAAAATAAAATACATAAAATTAAAATAAAATTTTATTTTATTTTTCTGTAATTTTAAAATTTAAATATTTTAATTATTTTATTCTGGGTTATTACATGTATTTATTGGGTGTTCCGTTTGTAAGCCGTCCAGAGACGTGTCGTAATTGGATGGGATTTAAAAAAAACCAGATAAATAAATAATAGAGCCTGAAGGGGTCTTGGAGATACCTGACGAATAATTCCCCACCCCTCAGGCTGGTGGTCACAAACCAGAATTGCTGCAAACATACTTTCCCCTGCACGTCCTTCCTTTTTTGGGGTGGGAGACATTGAATCAAGCGCTTTCTAGGGACTGCATTTCAGTGGCCAGCTTGCCTCCAACTCCCACCGGCTGTTGCCCGCATAGCTAATGAGGAGGACTTGTGGGAGGTGCCGTTGGCATGGCCCACGGGGGGCCCAGTCACCCCCCTCAGCAATTTAGTCACATCTGCTTTGCACTTTGCAACGGGGTGGGTATAGTACTGGCCTACTTCACAGGGCTGTTGTGAGCAGACTTCAGCCTCTTTGAAGATCTCTTCACCGGTATCCATTGATCGTGCGCGCTTGTCTTTTGCACCTGGTTCCAGGGGCTCCATCTCAGGGTCCCATTAGAGGAGGAACTTGGCCTTCCTCACAGGGTCGTTGTGAGGCCAGTGGTGGGGGAGAAACCTGTACAGGGCCATGCACTCCTGGATGAAAGGAGGAGGGCTTATGGATATAACCAGTGAAATGAAGTTGGTATGCGAAGCTGCTTAACCTGTGGGAACACGTCCTGTAGAATGCTCATAACAGATATAATTTTGTAAGTTATACAAAACTTGCAGAATTAAGTTTTGTAAGTTACAAGTGTTTCTATGTTTAGACAGTGGGGCATTGAAAAATGCAGAATGAGCCCTGCAGAAGTAAATCATGTGCACACGTGTCCGGCAAAGCATTCGGCGCTCGACGCAGGAAGGAGCTGTGCCGGCTGTGTGCTGACGGAGGGTAAAAATGGACATTTTTAGGAGAGGGCATGGGAGTGGTGAGCAAACAGCCTGAATGGCGAGTGCACAAGATAAATGTTCTTCCAGTTTGGTGAGGGGAGTGCGCCGCCCTCTGGAGGTCCTTGACTACAACCCCCATCATCCACAGCCCGAGCTGGGGCTGATGGGACTTTGACTCCAGCAGCATTCCCGATCTTTTTTAAAGCGTTTGGCAAGGTGGAGTTGGACGCTCCCCTTTAAAGCGTGGTTGTCCTCCTGCTTCTTGTGTTCTTCAGGGCGTATTCCTTCCACGTGAGCGCCGACGGGCAGATGCAGCCGGTCCCCTTCCCGCCCGACGCCCTGATCGGCTCCGGCATCCCACGGCACGCGCGCCAGCTGCACACGCTGGCCCACGGCGAGGTGGTCTGTGCCGTCACCATCAGCAACTCCACCCAGCATGTCTACACGGGAGGGAAGGGCTGCGTGAAGGTCTGGGACGTGGGGCAGCAAGGCGCCAAGACCCCTGTGGCGCAGCTGGATTGCCTGGTATGCAGAGCGAGTCCGCGAGCTGCACGGCAGACGGGCTGCTCCGATCCTTTTCCAATTTCTGCCTTGGTGGTTCTGCAATGAAGCAAAGCCAGTCTTGGAACCTTCCCTGATTTTTGAGGCCTGTTGATTGCTGGCCATGCAAATAGGTGTGAGCAGCTTGGCCAGGATTCTGTATTATCTTCAGCGGAATGTTTACTTGCTGTGTAGGTTTTGTGTACAGAAGCGCTGGGAGGAAAAAGGAAAGCATTACCCTAGAAAGCTACTCCAGGGGGTTTTTATGTTGCTTCAAATTAATATAGTTTTTTCTTTTCTATCCACAAGGGTGTCTGTTTTCATTGTGGTTACAGGCAAAAATTCTGGGGCTCAAGTGGAATAGGAGACGTTTGTCAGGAGCTTCCAAATTTGACCCAAGCAGCAACAAAATTGGAGTGGGGACTTATCTGCAGGAGCAATTCACTCATTTAAATTGTGCCAGGAGTTTCTGTGACCCACTCAGGATGTAGGGGTGGGGTGGGGCGGGGCTAAATACCACTCCACCCAGCACCACCACTAACCCCACTATGCTCAGACCTCTCTGCAGCTGTTTTTAAAAGCAAACACTGGGATATCCATCTCTGGTCTCCTGTAATGTGATTTGGCCATTAGCAAAGGGGCTAGAAACTTGATTTTTCAGAAACAAAGGAGGAAAGCTGAACAATGCCTGACCTGGCAGCTTCTGTGCATAACTTCCAGGGATGGAAATAACTCTGTCTGTCTGTCTGACTGTCTATCTGTCTCTCTCTCTTTCTCTCTCCTGTCCCAGAACCGTGAGAACTACATCCGCTCCTGCAAGCTCCTGCCAGACGGCCGCAGCCTCATCGTCGGCGGGGAGGCCAGCACCCTGTCCATCTGGGACTTGGCGGCCCCCACCCCCCGGATCAAGGCTGAGCTGACCTCCTCGGCCCCCGCCTGCTACGCCCTGGCCATCAGCCCTGACGCCAAGGTCTGCTTCTCCTGCTGCAGCGACGGAAACATCGTGGTGTGGGATTTGCAGAACCAAACCCTTGTTAGGTAAGCTTTCCGCTGCATGCCAAGAAGGAGTTGGGCTTGGGGTGTTGAAGCAAATACAGTACAGTGGCTAGAGTGCCTGGCTAGCCCCGGGTTCAAGCCCCTACTTGGTTCTGAGTCTCACTGAGTAGGTATGGGCCCATTGGTGTCTCTGGGTTAACCTGCTTTGCAGGAAACATGGCAAATCTAGACAGCATACTAAAAAGCAGAGACATCACCATGCCAACAAAAGTGCATAAAGTCAAGGCTTGGTTTTCCCAGTTGCAATGTATGGCTGTGAAAGCTGGACCATAAGGAAGGCTGAGCGCTGAAGGATTGAGGCCTTTGGATTGTGGTGCTGGAGGAGACTCCTGCGAGTCCCTTGGACCACAAGGCGATCAAACCGGTCAGTCCTAGAGGAGATCCACCCTGACTGCTCTCTAGAAGGCCAGATCCTGAAGCTGAAGCTCAAATGCTTTGGCCACCCAATGAGAAGGAAGGACTCCCTGGAGAAGACCCTGATGCTGGGAAGGACTGAAGGGCAAAGGGGAAGGAAGCGGCAGAGGATGAGGTGGCTGGATTGGGTCACTGGGGCAGTGGGTGTGAGCTTGGGTGGACTCTGGGGGATAGTGGAGGACAGGAAGGCCTGGAGGAATGTTGTCCATGGGGTCGCGATGGGTCAGACAGGACTTCGTGACTAGCAACAACTTTGCAGGATTGTTTCGAAGATGAAACCAAGTTTAATTTGTAAACCTGTGTAGTCTAGTGCTGAAGATCCTGAATTGACATTGGGGCCAAATCCCCCATTATGGACATGAGACTCACTGTATGACTTTGAGTCAGTAACTGCCCCTCAGTCACAGCTTTGTTGTAAGAACAACATGAAGAATACCAGGACAGCATAGACTGCCTAAGATTCCTTGCAAGGGGAAAAAAAGGTGGGATGTAAGTGTCACAGACCCCCTTCAGACAATACACAAGTAAGTTTGCATAAATGTATCCTCCTTTGCATCGCCTCTTTCCCTTTTGGGCATGGTAGAGAACATGCTCAAGATCACACCTCTGGCTTCTGAGATCTCAGCAGTGTTGCTTATCCACTTTCTTAGTCCTTTCCATAAGGACTGGAAACTTATTTGCAAATTAAAAAAGGGAAAAAACCCTCAGATTCAGAGGAAGAGCAGGATGCTATGCTCCCAGAGAGTTAATCATTTCGAAGTCCTTTTTACTCAGTTTGGCAGCTTGGCTGTGCTAATCGTGGAAGGTGATCCGTTGTTCCTGCTCCGTGCATCTCTGCTTGTCTGCCACGGCGTGCCTCTTTTTTTCTCTTCCACCCTCCCCAGGCAGTTCCAGGGTCACACGGATGGAGCCAGCTGCATCGACATCTCCAGCGATGGCACCAAACTCTGGACAGGGGGCTTGGACAACACCGTCCGGAGCTGGGACCTTCGGGAGGGCCGGCAGCTCCAGCAGCACGATTTCAGCTCACAGGCAGGAGGCGGGGAAAGGGGTGGGGCGGGGACTCACTCAGTGTGGCCCCGTTGACATGGCTGAGGCCATGGAGGACAAGTTCGTCCTCATTAGCACCTGGGAGCCAGCTTCCTGTGGTGGGTGGGCCGGCGCTGAAAGACGCAAGGCTGAAAATTCCAGCATATTTTACATTTTTCTCTTGATGCTGGGGTGTAAACTGTAAGCGAGACCTGCCACTCTCTTAAAAGGGGGAAGAGCAGCACAGAAGCTGGAAACCGGCAAGCAATTGGTAGTCACAACGAAGAGGAAAAGGGGCTATGGCCTTCCAGGGAAGATGAGAAGGAATGATTGGGAATGTGTGCAGGCCAGATGTGGCTGGGGGACCTGAATTGGTGCACCTCTGTTTTGTAGCCCTGAATTTGCCTTATCCCCTCTTGAGACTATCCAGGCTACTGCATCCTGTGGCAGTGAGTTCCATAAGTGAATGATGCCCTCCATAAAGGACTTCTCCCTTTCTCCATTCTTCAAACATCTGGTCTAATTCACGGCTCCCATCGTGTATCGTTGCTGAACCGTCCTACGCCTTTAAGCATGTTGTTATTTGAAGACACTGTTTTTATGTCTTCCTGCTATATACTCAGGGGACCTGTGACTCAGTTTGGGAAACTTACAGTGCCTGCAGGTTTTGAATCTTGTTCCCTCACTGCAGTCCCAAATCTGGGCTGCGGTTCTGACTTCCTCAGTTCACCTAGCCAAAAAAGGATCAGCTGAAAGGAATGTTGTGAGTTTTACTCCAAAATCCTCCCCCATACCACTGGTTTTCGGGGGTTGCCTGGCTGCTTTGCCACAGTGAGGACTAGAAACATGAGTGCATTCCTGGTCTGTCAAATAGTACTGCTTCCGGAATTTCCATTTAATATGGCTCCCACAAAACACCAGTTCTGCTGGGCCCATATCTCTGTCCAACCAGTGCCCATTCTTTCTCTTCCCTTTCCAGATCTTCTCTCTCGGCTACTGCCCCACCGGGGAGTGGCTGGCAGTCGGGATGGAAAGCAGCAACGTTGAGATATTGCATGTGACGAAGCCGGAGAAGTACCAGCTCCACCTGCACGAGAGCTGCGTCCTGTCCCTCAAATTTGCCTCCTGTGGTATGTAGAACCCTGCACACAAACATATATATTCTGTACTGTGGACTGCTCCTCTTGAAGGTGCCCGCCAGCCAGTCAACCATGCCCCCATCTTGGCCACTCCATTTCATCCTCTGCAGAGCCCCTGTGTGCCAGCCAGCCAGCTAAGCCCTCTCCCACTCCACTCCATTCCATTCCAGTCTATACTGTTTCTGGTCTCCATGAGGGGTTTTCCCCCTATTTTGGGGAGGGGGGATTTCCACAAAGTGTAGGATTAAGTTTGTTTCACTTGTGCATGGATTGTCTAGCTCAGGACATGAGTTTGGTGTGAGTTGATGTGTCAGTTCCGTTGCTTGTCTCCTGAGTTCTTCAAAAGGAAGGTGGCCCTTCATCTTATCTTCCCAGTGGTGGCAGGAAAACTTCACTGGTAGCTCTCAATATTTTGTCCTGCCTCATGGTGGGAGGCCAACCCCTGACTTGTGTGGGGCAGGAGGGCACTCATTCCCCACCCCCCTGAAAAGGGAAAAGAAAAAGTGAGAGGAGGAGGAGGAAAGGTATAAAAGAGGCTGCCTTTTCAAAGTTTATTTCCCTTAAAGAAAGAGCGACTTTCCCCAAGTCTGAAATTAATTATTCACCTGTGGAAGACCCGGAAAATTTTAGCAGCTTGTTTCAACTCATTTCAACTACAGGGAAATGGTTTGTGAGCACTGGAAAGGACAACTTGTTGAATGCTTGGAGGACACCGTATGGAGCAAGTATATTTCAGGTAGGGAGGGAGGCTGAACTCTTTTTGGTGGTGGGGGCGGTAAATAAGTAGATGATAACTTTACAGAGAGGGAACAGTGTTTTGAGAGGTGCTTTGGGCGCATGAGCTTTCTTGTTTTTTGCTAAGTCAGGAAACCTGTGCAGACCCCTTTATTAAATGCTTGCAAAATGTGCTTTTTAAAGGGGGGCAGAAGTAGGGGTACGTGAAGGGCTGTGCTGCCTTTTTATTACCATCTTGGGTTGCGCAAAACCCAGTAGTTTTTTATATGTGCAGCAGAGCTGAAAGTGCAACGGGCATAATCAGGTTTGGCAGGTTTTCCATTGCCTTAGAAAACCTGCATGATCTGTTTAACCAGCAGGCCCAAAGGAAAACTGCATGCACAGTGCAGGAAGGGACAACTGAGTAACCATCAGGTGATATTCAGGCTGTCTACAAGGGGCTGCCTTTTTTTTAATAGAGCCCGAAAGCTCCCAATTGGTTTAAAATAGCCCTCACAATACTGACCAAATACTGCAGAAATAGCTAATTTGTTTCTGTCTTATTTACAAAGTACTGTCGTTTAATGTTTTCCTTAATTTAACTTATTTAATTCTCTTGCACCTAGTCACTGAAGCTACTAGCAAGCTTTAATCTATTAAAGCACAACCTAAGATGCACTACAGTATCAAAACAATGGGGGAGAAATTCATATACAAAAATCTGAAACACACATAAAATTCCAGTAACTTGGGATAAAACCTGACTGAACCTTCAGACAACTAACAAAGCACCAGTAAACTAATTAAATGCCCTGCAGTAAAGTCTTGACCTAGCGCCGAAAAGATAGTATGATTGGCACCAGGTGAGCTTTAACGGGAAGCTTGTTCTCCTACTGGGGGCCACGACTGGACAGACCCTTCTCCTTGTATCCACCGGCTGTGCCCCCCGCCAGCTGTGTTGGGAGTCGGAGGTGGTGCCCCACACAATGTGTGTGGGATCTGAGTTTCTGGTGCTTGGGAACGCTGCCTCCACGGAGTTCTCTTTTGGAATGGTGCTCTTCTAGATGTCACATTTAGGATGGGGGTGGGACCTGTGCAAATTACCTTTTATTCTGCAAGGAATAATTGTATGCCGGACTGATGTATAATCAAGTACAACTCACAAGAGAAAACGGGAATGTTCTCTTGTTCTGGGGTGCGGCCAACCATCCCTTCCTCCAGGATCTTTTATTCAACTCTTTCCCATTCCCCGACACAAAAAAGACACTTAGTACAGAGAACTTGCGGCTGTTCGGTTCTCATCAGGCTGTAGTTTGCCTGGGAAGCTCGAATGCCTTCATCAAAAGAATGATGAAAAAGCTTTTAATGACCCTTCAGCAAACCTTCGCATTCCTCCAGGCAGCCAGAAAGCCCCCTCTTATTCAGCGGCTGCTTTTGCACCCTCTTTTCCTGAGCCCCCATTAGTGCGGGCGCCTGCTCTCTCGATGTGCTCGTTGCCGTGTCTGCTGTCTTCCCCCAACCCGCACAGTTGCATCATCTTCCCTTCCTTCCATTTCAGTCGAAGGAATCCTCCTCCGTCCTTAGCTGTGATGTTTCTACAGATGACCAGTTCATCGTCACCGGCTCCGGGGACAAGAAGGCCTCCGTTTATGAGGTCATGTACTGAGGCGGATCACGCCCTTGTCAAAACGCCACCTGGGAGAAGGGGCGAAGCGAGTCCCCCCCAGTTTTTTTTCCAGCCAAAGAATCCACTTACAGAAAGTGAACTCATAGCAAAGCAGGTGCGGGGGACTGCCTCGAACTGCAGCTCTGCCGGCTTCTTTCGGCAAACGAGGGATGGAGACGAGCGATCGACTGGCAGCGGCTGCTTTGCTCCCCCGCCGGCTCTTATTTTGGGGGGACAAAGGCAGTGGGGTGTGCACACAAGTATGTGTGTTGGGGGGGGGTGTTCCTCTTTTGGTTTAAATTCCTTTTATTTTCTTGTGTGTTTAATTTTTTTAAAATCTTTAAATAAAAACATTGGGTGTTGGTCAGGACTTATTCTCAGTCTGTTTGCTTTCGGGGTTTTATTTAAGGGGAAAGGCTACCTGCCATGGCATGCATACAAAAGATGTGCCAACATGAGGGACTAGCGGCATGACTAGCAACAGGAAAAGCAGGGGCGGGAGAATAAACCACTTGTTCAGGAGCCCCACACCTTCCTTAGCTTTGCAGGAGTTCCATGTAGGCCGTGAGAAGCTGTGCTACCCGGCTCCCGGCCAACAGAATCCAGTTCCTAGAAACGGATTAGGGCCACGATCCATGCAGAGCCCTTGCAGTGTGCAGGCTGACTCTGGAGTAAACCGCATGGAGTCCCTCTGAGCTTCACCTTGGGTTGCAGGAACACACACGGGAAAGAAAACGCGTGCTGGGTACAGAGAGTTCCCCTCTACCTTGGATGCTCGTAAACGGCTATCCCCAGACTTCTGTGTATCGGACGGACAAAGCAAGCCATAGGTTAGGAATGTTTTATCTAAGCTGTTTTCAGCTGCCTCGATCAAGCACTGGCTAAGGAGAGAAGCTGGGGCACTGATAAAAGTCAGTGGAAGCTGTCAGCCCTGGTGCTCTGCTTCCCACACGCCCCCCGGCTTCCTGAGGCCCAGGTGTACCCTAAGAAAAGCTTGTCGTTCTTCCCAGGCCAGCTATGACGGGACTCTATCCTTCAGAGTCCCAGCCTTGATATTGCAGGACTTTGGGCCCTGAAGAACGCTGTAGCCCCACAGGCAACAACGGCCACCTGTAGGAATTCATCCTTCATCCCTTAAAAAAATGCCACAGACTGTGGCTTTTAATATTACTTTTGGCAGGCTTCAGTGCAACACAGGGAGATAATTGCCCGAAAGACTTGAAATCTTTGTGTTTGCAGAAAGCACTTTATAGAAACAGATATTAGAGCCAACAAGAGACTGGTTTGACTAATTAAAGAGTACAATGCGTTTGACCATATTGGAATGCAACCTAGATTTTAAAAAACAAAATGCAATTACAGGTTTAGTTTTTTATAGCAAGCGTCACAGTTATGAAGGGATGGAAGTGCAGTCTTTGACAAAAAAGCAGTGCTCTCATGTTATCTTGAACATGTTCTCTTCGCTTGAGCATATTTTTCTTTGACTCAAAGCTTCTGGATGTATCAATTAAAGGAAAAAGGCAAAAAAGCTAATACCAGATGGTTAACAGCAGATTAGTTCCCCAAAGGTAGGGCTGAGAGAATTGTGCTCAGTTCAAGAAATTCTTAAAAAGAGAGACAGAACTTGCAACCGCAAAAATCGAACTCACAAGAACACAAAGTGACCAGAACGCATCCATCTCTTGCCATGGGGGTGTTTCAGGGGCAGCTCATCTGGGGAAGGGAAAAACCACCTTGGGCAACATTTCTAACCGGTGTTTCATCAGCAGCCCTTGAAAAGTAAAGGGTTTGGCACAGGAGGGTGTTATTTGGTAACCCCAGCTGCGCTGCATAGTGGGCAGTGGAGCAACGGCCCTGTAAAGAGTTGCCCCCCCACCCCAGGGCAAAACCCAGTAAACTGCATTGGGAAATCAGTTGTTCCAGCTGCCTGAGTCTGTTGCCTTCTATACCTTTGATTGCCTTCCCAGTCAGCAAACAGCCTTCAGGAACTGACCTGCAGGGCAGGGGCTGAATGACTTGTCATGCAAGAAAGTAATACACAAGCTTGCTCAATCCCCCCCCCCCCCCCCCATGTATGTACACTTTTAGCAGCATTAGCAAGGACCAGTGCCAGTTTCTTATTTTTCCCATCCAAACTCTGGTTGGTCACAAATACAGCTTTACACACAAGCTTCAAATAATTCTATGTGCCACAGAGAGAGCAGATTAAATCTTAATTTTCACACTTTCACAATTACAAATATGTATGCATCAGCGTATGCCTTGTAATATATTACGTTTTTCGATGGCAAAGCTCCATTGCAAAAGCCATGTGTGAATATTAGAGATTTTTTTTACTCTGCAAGGTTGCTGAATCTTTAAGCTGAAAGGTTGAGAAGAGTTGGAGGGCAGAATTAAGTGGCATGTAAGGCAAAGGTGAAAGTCTCTCAAAATAGCGCAATATAGCTTAAACTTCTCACAAATGGCACATTTTTTAGCTAGGGAATCACTGCACCAGCACTGGGTTGGTTTGATGCAGCAGCAATTCAACATTTGCTGCAGATGTTGGAATTGTTCCCCTAAAACAGGCTCAGGGAAGGGTAGGCGGTGCCCCTTGGCAGGAAGCTGGATGGCAACTCCCATCCTCCCTGATCCTTGGCCATGCAAGGGGCTAGGATGCCAAGGATATTTGGATAGGTGGATGGATACAGTTCCTAAAGGACTGGCCCAGGTGCTTGCAATTTGAAAATCCATTGAATAATTCAGGCACTTCTTAACATGGGTGTCTTGTTTGCACCCAGAAAAAACATCAGTGGGGCTTGGATTGGGGGGGGGAGGTCTTTCCTGTTAGGGAAGGTTAAACATCTGCTCCTCTATCCCAGTTATTCACTTGGCAGAGAAGATACAGAAATCCCTCCCCCTCTCTGTCATTCTTACCTGGTTTACATAAATAATACCCTGCTGATGCACTCTGCTTCTGAAGGGATCATAAACATGTGCCTATGGAGCCCAGACTTTCAAGCTTCTAGTCCTCACTGAGGTCTCAAGTCAGGCTTGGACATACATGGGCTGTCTCTGCTGGAATCTTCACCTTTAGTGGTGGAGCTCCACAAAATGGCAAAGGTCAGCCCAGGTTGGGATACCAGGGGAGGGCGGTGGGGGGCAACCTCTCGGCTTCCTCAAGGCTATCCCGGTTTTCTTGCTGGCATGGCAGGAGTGGCTTCCAACCAGTTTCTGAAGCAGGGGTGGGGGTCTCCAATGACAGAAAAGCAAGTGGGCAGTACACAGCACAAGCGCTCTCTCTTCAGTACACAACTTCATAAACCGTCGCCTTCTTGTCTCCCGAACCTGTCACGATTATTTTGCCGTTGGCAGAGATGTCACAGCAAAGCATTGAAGAAGATTCTCTGGACTGCAAAAAACATAAAACATAAAAATAAAAAAAATGCAAAAGCAGGGGTGGGGAGACAGTTCTGGTCTCCCAAATGAGCTAGCATGCTTTCCTAAAACCTGTTTCTCCCCTTTCCCCAATATTCCCCTTGTGGAACATCCTGCCTCCTTGGCTTTCCCGCTCTCTCCCTGCTTTCCTTTTTTCTTTGAGCTTAGTCCCATGCAGGGAAGACTGAACAGTCACAAGCCATTTAGGAGGTGGCCTTGCCTGACCACTAGCCGTCGGCTTGGTGCACAGATTCCAGAGACCAGCTTTCACTCCAGGTGTGAACAGTTGCAGACGGAAGCACTCACAATTGCAGGCAGCCAAACGACTCTGCGTTAGCACAGTAGACTTCCTGGCTAATTGTGCCAATGCCCTACAAAATGCATTAATGACTTCCAGGCTACCCACTGGCGCTGTGGACAATGCCTGTCCTTGCTCCCTTCCTTACCATGGGGCTGCAAGTGAAGGACCATCCCTGCCAAAAGCAAAGCTCGGACAACTCCAGTTCCAGCTGGCAATTCCAGCAGCGTTGGCGTCAAATGGAGGGCAACACCAGGGCAGCAAGCGTCATGCGACCCATGTTCCCCAGGTCTGCAGTAGTGCAACAGGGTCCCCTGTCCCAGGTCCTAGACTGTTGTGTGGGGTGGGACAGTCCAAGCATTTGTGCTGCCCCCAGGAAAGTCCACCAATAGAGGAACTGGAGTACCAGATGTGTTGCCCAAGGCTCCCAAAATTTCTCCTCTGGCGTGAAGGTTTGGGATCAGTGGGACTGCAGCCAGGCATACGACTTTCCAGAGATTTTATTCAAATTTGTCCTTTATTCCAAAATTGGAAGTCTCGGATTTTGTGTGATCTTTCCAAGAAGGGTGATGGCTTAGGATAAAGTCAGCCTCTCCACACTCAGAGTTCAGGTTTAACTCCGGTGAAAAGGAGCAGAGCAGGTGATGGATGATTAGGGGAGGAAAGCCAGATCCCAAAAGGGGGTCTCACAATGAATTTACATGCACACATGCCCAATTTAGAAACGCAAACTTTGGGCTAAAATGTGTTTATTAATGGGCATTTTATGAGGAGAAAGAGCCGGTCAAATCTGAGCATTGAAATATGGGGTAGCTAGACAGGGTCCCATGTCCTGGCAGAGAACTAGGGCACCCAGTGCAATGCCTGAAGGCTCCCTGCTTTCCGAAATCTCAGAACTGCCCCCACGCTGGGACAGTGACATATTTGGCTGAAGGTTTTAGAAGCACCCCAGGCCCCCATGTGCTGTTCTTGTACCTGAAAGATGCTTGCGCCATATGGCGTCCGCCATGCAGTAAGCAAACTATCTTTGCCAGTGCTGATAAACCATTTCCCTGCAGTGAGAGAGGGAGGGGGAAAAACGGTCTGAGACTGGGTTTGATACATCCGTTTTTATCTGTAGGAGGAAAATTGAAGTTCCAGCTGGGAAGCGAGGAGGGGAAAGTAGACTTTGACACCTTTGGGCCCCAGCTTTTAAAACAGAGATGCATTAACCTCACTTGCAAAAGCCCCTTGTTTTTCTGGCAATTTGTAGGTTGGCAATTTCCATTGAGGTTACCTTGCTGAACAGGTGTTAAATTCAGCAGGAGCCCATCTAAAGCAAGAGTGGGGGGTGGATTATTCCCCAGAGAAGCTGCTGGATTACATATTCCAGCTTCCGCACTTGCATTGCCAGTGACGAAGGATTGTAGGCAGCCCCCATCCTTGCCATTCCATTTCCAGCAACACAGAAAGCCCACAGGGACTGGTACTCCCATCATCCCCAACAGTGAGGGTGTTTAAGGATGAGCTGGACATGCACATGGTAGGAGGCCCCTTCTGACTTGCTCTGATTCTATGTTTCTTTTTTCTATGTATAGTTCAACCTAGTTGGAGGGTGTTGGCTTGGGAAAGGATAGTCTACAGCACCCAGCTTTAAGAGGAAGACTGCCCCTAGCTATGGAGGCTCTATGGTGCCTCCATGATCAGTCATAGTTGAAAGACCCTCCCTGCAGGTGAATTAATTTCAGCAGTTTTAAGGCACTTGATCCCAACATCTGTCAGATGCAAGCACAAAAACATCAGCGTGCAAACCTGCCAGGCCAGGGGCCCCAAACCTGCCAGCAGTCCTGACCTCGCTACGGGAAGCCCAAATTGGCCAAAGCCCTTCCCCATCTCTTTTGGGCTCTGTCCTGGGGCCGATCCTGTTTAATCTTTTCATTAATGACATGGAAGAAGGGGTGAACAGTCTGCTGATCAAATTTGCAGACGACACTAAAACTGGAGCAGTGGCCACAACTGAGGAGCAGGTACTCCAGATCCAAAAGGATCTGGACAGACTATGGAAGTGGAGACAACAGGATGGTGTTCAATGTGGATAAGTGCAAGGTCTTGCACTTGAGGCATGGGAATGGGTGTCAGAAGTACAGGTTAGGGGACAAGTGGCTGGAGAGCAGCACTTGTGAAAGGGACCTCGGGGTGCTGGTTGACTGCAGGCTGAACATGAGCCAGCCGTGTGATGCGGTGGTCAAGAGGGCAAACGCCACCCTTGGTTGCATAGCCAGAAGTGTGGCTTCTAGATCAAGAGAGGTGTTACTATCACTCTACACGACTCTGGTGCGCCCGCAAGTGGAGTATTGTGCTCAGTTCTGGGCCCCTCATTACAGGAAGGATATAGCCAGGTTAGAGTCAGTGCAGCATAGGGCCACAAGGCTGGTGGCCGGTTTGCAGGGGATGCCGTATGAGGCGAGACTGAGGGAACTGGGTCTCTTCAGCCTGGAGAAGAGGAGACTCAGAGGGGATATGTTGGCAACATACAGGTGTGTGAGGGGGTGTTACACGGAGGTGGGTAGAGACCAGTTCTCCCCTGCGGAGGAAGGAAGGACGCGTTCCAACAGAGCAAAGCTCAGGGAGCCAAGGCTCAATTTGGATGCCAGGAAGCACTTCCTGACAGTCGGGACCCCAAGGGTGTGGAATGGGCTTCCCCGGGAGGTGGTTGAGGCCCCATCGGTGCGGGTGTTCAAGGACAGGCTGGACGTGCACATGGTGGGCATGTCGTGAGTGGAGCCAGCTGGTGCCAGAGGTCAGACTAGATGGCCCGGGAGGCCCCTTCTGACTCGCTCTGTTTTCTATGTTTTCTGTGTTTTGCTGCCTCCCCAGCTGTGGCACCGTTCTGACAGGCTGGAATGCTTCTCTGTAGGCTCTGTGCCAGGCAGCGAGATCTTTACTCCTACAGGCTGCTATTTATGTTTGCTAGTTCCATTGCAATCAGCCCCAAGAGCGCCTCTGCAACTAAATTCAGCTCTTTGGCCAAAAGAATTTTGACACCCCTGTACTGCAGGGTGGAAGGCCACTCCCCCCCCCCAAAAAGCCCCTCCTTCTATGAATTGCTGTGAGGGTGAAAATGGAGAGGAAGGTGAACATGGAAGAAAAGACGGTCAATGCAAGCATTAAATAAGGTTGCCATCGGCACAGCTCACTCTCTGCCACACGTCCTGCCTTGAAATGGTGCCTGAACTTGCATTTGTGGAGACTCACACACTTACCACAATTAGCAAATTTGAGGGAAAGCACGCAGCTCTCATGGAGGTACAGCTGGTACTTCTCAGGTTTTGTCACATGCAGGACCTCGACACTGTTGCTTTCCATCCCGACCGCCAGCCACTCCCCGGTGGGGCAGTAGCCCAGGGAGAAGACCTGGAGGTGAGAAGGGGGTGGAAAGAGACACAAAACATGGTCTCCTTCCTCCCAAAACGCCCACCCCTTACATTGCCAAGCGCCCCACGCTAACCCACCGCCACCCAAGAAAACGGAACCTTTTCAGACCACTGACTTTTTTCCCCTCTACCCTCCACTTCACCCTTTCCTTGTGTGTCTTGCCCTTTTGGATTATACACCAGCAAACTATCTTGCTTCTTGTTACTCATAGGTATGGTGCTCCCCCAGCAGCCTTTTTGGTTGAGGGGCAGGGTAAAAATGATGACCTGGGAGCTGAAATTGTGCTGCTGAAGCGGCAGGCCTTCCCGCAGGTCCCAGCACCTCACGGTGTTGTCCAAGCCCCCTGTCCAGAGATTGATTCCATTATTGGAGATGTCAATGCAGCTGGCTCCATCCGTGTGACCCTGGAACTGCCTGGGGAGGGGAAACAGGACAAAATGCCAGGGGGTAACATCATGGTTTGTTCAATCCAAATCATTAATTCTCTGCCAACCATCAATTTTATTTGATTGCTACATACCGCTGTGGGCCCACGATCCAATGCAAACGAACAGGACAATGGAAATGAACCCCCAGAATGGCCATCTGTGTCACATCAGTGTTCTCTTATTTGTGGCAGCAAACTCACTATCCTGTACAGTGGTTTTTAAAGTATATGTTTGTGTTACCCCCATGAAGCAGGTCAGCGGAATGTATAAGGTTCACCTAAAAAAACCCTGTGAGGAAGGCTAGGCCAAGAGCTCCAGCCCACACAGAAAGCATCATATGCTATGCTATGCTATGCTATGCTATGCTATGCTATGCTATGCTATGCTATTCGGGAAGTCATGCCTGGCCCATCGCAACCTCATGGACAACACTCCTCCAGGCCTTCCTGTCCTCCACCATCCCCCAGAGTCCACCTAATCTCATGCCGACTGCTTCAGTGACCCCATCCAGCCACCTCATCCTCTGCCGTCCCCTCCTTCTTTTGCCATCTATTGTGCCCAGCATCAGGGTCTTCTCCAGGGAGTCCTTCCTTCTCATTAGGTGGCCAAAGTATTTGAGCTTCATCTTCAGGATCTGGCCTTCTAAAGAGCAGTCAGAGTGGATCTCCTCTAGGACTGACCGGTTTGATCACCTTGCGGTCCAAGGGACTCGCAGGAGTCTCCTCCAGCACCACAAACCAAAGGCCTCAATCCTTTGGCGCTCAGCCTTCCTTATGGTCCAGCTTTCACAGCCATACATTGCAACTGGGAAAACCATAGCCTTGACTATACGCACTTTTGTCGGCAGGGTGATGTCTCTGCTTTTTAGTATGCTGTCTAGATTTGCCATAGCTTTCCTCCCCAGGAGCAAGCGTCTTTTAATTTCTTGGCTGCAGTCCCCATCTGCGGTGATCTTGGAGCCCAGGAAAATCAAATCTGTCACTACTTCCATTTCTCCCCCATCTATTTGCCAGGAAGTGAGAGGACCGGATGCCATGATATTAGTTTTCTTAATGTTGAGTTTCAAGTCAGCTTTTATGCTCTCCTCCTTCACCCGCATCAAGAGGCTCTTTAGTTCCTCTTCACTTTCTGCCATTAGAGTGGTAACATCTGCATATCTGAGATAGTTGATATTTCTCCCAGCAATCTTAATTCCAACTGATGATTCATCTAGGCCTGCCTTTCTCATGATGTGCTCTGCATATAAGT